CTGTTGAGTTTTGTTGGCCTTTGTAATTAATTTCTTCTCTATACCCCTGCAATCTCAGGTGCACTCCCTTATACTTATCAAAGAGTATTCATGTCAATGACATTGGCCATCCATAGCCTAGTCCCACTATTGGATATTTATATGCATGTATACAACATAATTAATTATGTACTAAACAAGTATGTGTGTCTGTCATTTTCAGTTATTTGCCTATCTAGAATTTTTGTGAAGGGAGTTAACCTTTCTCCTGCTTCTATAACAACCCACCTACTTCCTATGGATTCTCTTTGTAGTTGCCTCTTTCTCTACTCATGCCATAAATCCAAGTCTTTCCGAGAAGTCTGTCTTAGGTCTGTTCTCTTTGCAGCCCCCTTAGATGACTTCATATGGCAGTTTGACTCCTGATTCTCAACTCTCTTCTTTTATGTGCAAATCCAACTGTCACCCTTGACTGGCCTTGGCTCAAATTCAGCGGATTTCCTAACTGAATACATCGCCTGTCTCAAAAACCCACTCTGTTTTAGAATTTTCTCTACCATCTTTCTTGCTCAGACTAGAGACCTAGGACCATTTTGAGAGACCTGCTCTCAAAATTCTCCCATATGTTTTTAAAAAGTTACAATTCCTGCAGATTCTGTTTCTTTAATAACTATTGATTCATCCCTCCTCTAGTTCTGGGATACAGTACCACTACTATTGGAGCATCTTCCTGAAGTCTGTCTTCAGATTTACTCTTGCTCTACCAACCTCCCGCAGCTCATTCACCTGGCTTAGGAAGTCCCCTATGGCTCCCCAGAGGCGGTGTTAGGTGCACATTTTGTTTTCTTTGTAACTACTCCATTTCATCAAGCACAGTCATCACAATACTTACCATCCAATGTGGATTCTGCTTGTTTATTTCCTCCCTAGCTGTTAACTGTGAGCTTGAGATCCTGCTTGCCATTCAATCCCTAACGCCTCGCATAGTGAATGCTGCACAGAAGGCACTCAGCAAATACTTCTTCAATATTGTTGAGTGTTAGTCAATTTGTAAGCTTTCTAACATTTAAACTCTAAAACAAGTAGAAAGAAATTATCATAAACACATAAATTGCGTAAAGACAAAATCTGGAATTAGAAGTCTGGGATTACATTTCTGGCGCTATCGTTGCCTTGTGGAATACTTTTGACAGAACACGAAATTTTCTCACCATAATGCAATCATATAACACTCATCATTACTGAGTATACCATAAAAGTGACAATCACATCTTGAATTTAAGACCTCTAAATAGTTAGAAGCATTTCTTATAGATGATTTATTTATTCAACCTCTCTTTGGGGTACACATTCCTCTTTCCTTCTATAGGGTAATGAAGGGGGACAAATCCCCTCCTGTGTTGATGACAAAATATTGGTCCAGAGATGGTTACTGCTACACAGAATGTCATGAAGATTCATGAACATGTCTTGAATTTTTATGTTCCTACTAGAGAATGTGAGTTGTATAAGGTATTATGTATTATGCTCTTGTACATCTAGTTTCTTAAAAATTCAAAATATTTTGGGGATGAAAATATGTACAAATTATTTCAGTATTTCAGCTTATTCCTGGATGCTTCATGTTTTTCTGGAGACATGTTTTTTTTTTCCCCACACCCACTCAAGCCATCTGTGTACCAGGCAAGCTTTCTGAGATGTAAAACCAAGTGAAATATGTCCGTTCCATTTATTTAGAAAAGACTATGACTAATGATACTGTGGGAAAAAAATGGCATAGTTAATGAAAAGTGTATTTCCTGTATGAATAGCTAGGAAGCCTGGCAGTTATGGCCACAAGGTAAGTAGGTCCTCAAGATTCAGCACCAGAGCTTTTCAAACCAGTGCTTGTGGGAAGCAGAGAATTGGTGTCTACCCAGCATCTAGAGATAACTTCTTTGAAACGGAATTTATCACCACCATTAAATGGTAAAAATACTTTAAAATTCACACAGTATTGCATTATTCCCCCCAGAATATACTATTGTTTGTTTTACATTAAAAAGATGTTTAAATGATCACCATTAATTAAAAATGACTTTCTAGAAAATATACCATATTTATTCTTGTCTTTAAATACCAGGGCACTGGCTTACCTGGAGGGTTACTTTTATCATGTTTGAAAAGCCCAGGGTCTTAGAATATTGCATCCCAGAACAAGGTTTTTATGTTGGAATTTAAGAAACTCTTCTTATGCCCTCTTTTTACTTTGCTACCTAATTGGTAGCATGTTCACAGTTAAGATGATTGGGGAATAGAAGATCAGCTTCCTCAAGTAGAGATTTCCTGTTAGAGGAAAAGGAGCTATCTGAAGTGAGAATTACCTGTCCCCTTTCCTCTTTAGATCTCAAAAACTAGAACTCAAACCAAGAAGTTCTAAAACTTAGTAATCTTTTGTTGAGCATTTTGAAAATATGATCACACTGAAAGCTGGTCATGCTCAAATATAAGTACAAGAGGTGACTTATTTATACATTCAAATTTCAAAACATTTTTAAGGCCTGCCATGTGTGCTGTTAAAAGGTTTTTAATTTAAAATTATTCTGTTAGATAATCCTGTTTTTTAAGTGACATTATGATTTATCACCACTAATCAAGATTCTGATCCCTCATAGACTTCTTGTTTGTATCTGTTTTTGTTCTTTGTTACATAAATATGAGGTTTATATATAAAATTTTGACTGTGTAATATTGGGCTAATGAGTCACAGATGGAAAGATGCTGGCACATTACCATCTAATAACATTTTAAACTCGTATTCCATAGTAAAACAAAAGCAAATTGTACACATCTGTTTTCCAACTTGTAGCATTTCTGAGTTTGTGCAGAGTCTATGTTTAAAGGACTTTTACTTGGAGAGAAGAAAAAGAGGACACAGGTCATCTCAAAACTACCCAGCCACTTAATAGCCTTATCAGGATGGATTTGGCAAAAGGGATGAGGTTTCCTCTGCTTTGCTTCCTGAGAAGTCATAGTGCTAAAGAATGAGAACCAAAGATATTAGGGCTGAAGAAATGTCTTCATACTACAAACCTGATTTTATTGGGTCTCTTAAAAAGAAAAACATATCCGTAACATGGGCAAAATAGGAAAATGTCCATAAAAGTTATCAAATTATAAACCTAGAAACTTTCTGGTCATTCCTAAAAGTATCCTCAAACTAGAATTGGGTAGGAAGAAGGAAAGCTCACAGAAACTTGAGGCCATGTGTCACTGTGGTGCTTGTTTATTTGTATGGTAAACATGTTCTGTTGTTTTTTATATTTTTAAATTGGAATAAAAGACTCCAGTTTCACATGTTGTTAGAAAAGAAATGGAGCAAAGGCAAAATTTCTCTTTTCAACTTAACCAATGGATAATGCCTTTGTGGAAGAATTAGTACATGTTATTGAAGTACATGTCTCTGAAAAACATCTCTCCCTCATTCTCCTTGGTGAAGGAATTTCAAGCCACTTTTCTGCTTTAAGGGGTTATGTGAACTGTCAAGTTCTTTTGGAAAAGTTACGTGACAGAAGTGATTACTGCAGAGTGTGACCATAAATCCCCCTGACATGAAATGCACATGTTATAAGAGACAGATTTCCATCTCCCACCTCTGCGGAAATTCCTAAAACAGGAGACCTGAGATTCATCATATGATTGGAGAGAGAAACTTTGATATGTGGGTGGCAAGACTGTATTTTATGTGATGCACTATGTTTATTCTTAGGAATACCCCTGTTCTGACAGCAAAATTCTGTTCACTGTTCTTGTCCAAAAAAAGAATTAATACATGTATTGTATGTCTGGAGTTGTAAACAGAGTATCGATAGAGGAGATTTACAGTGTTGTTTTCATAACAGTGTCTATAGTTATTTCCATTTTGTACTAACATTTCATGAGGAAGATTCCAGAAATGTTAAGATCAGGAAACTACACAGGCATAGGTACAGATCCCATTGTGCCTGCCCCAAGAGGCCCTTAGGGTTCTCAGTCCCACACACCATGCTTTAAGGAATGGCTGGTCACTTGGGAACTGATGTGTCTAATTCTGTTGATGGTGTTCGTAAGACCTGAGCCAGGGAGTTAGTTAGAGATTAGGTACGTGCTTGTTTTGTTTGTCCACCAGTGAAATGTCTGTGTGACGTACTGTGTCGTGTTGTTTTGGTGCTGTGCTGTGTCCATAGGGCCCGCCAGGCTTCCCCACAGTTGCTGCCCTGCACAGTAATCAGATCCTCACCGTCAAGGTTTGTGGTTGACACTTATGTCTGCTCAGAACCGCAATCAGCATAAGAGTCAGCAAGAACCATTTGATTGGCCTGCCCAGCCCAGGTGCTCCCTGTCATCCTAACTGCAAGTGACTAGTGTTGGGCATCTGGAACGTCACCTGCCTTAGTGAGGTCAGATATATATTAAAGGGCTGTATCCTGAGCAAACTCAGAGAAGGATGTTTTATCAAACAGATCAGTGTAGAGAGGTGGGCATCGTGAGCTAGGACCATGCCACACCTCCCTGGTTTGAGTTGCATGTATCCTAATGCTCTATGATATTTCCCAGCTACTTAAGTAATTCTAAGTACTTTAGACTTTGGGCATCAAAGAAATTGCTATCAGGTTCTTGCTGCCTTATGCTGGTTGACAAGTCTGATGAAAATGGAACTGGTGCTTCGTCTGTAGACTTTCTGCTCAGAATGCAGCTCTCCCCCCAATCCAGCTCACCTCCATCTCGGAATGGGCTACACACACAAAAAAAGACCCAACACGAATACAAAAAGGATTCACTTCTAACTAAAAATATGGCCTCACCATCCCATTTCAGGGTTATATGTTTTTTAAGACGAGCGAGAAGGTCTGGTGGCAGACACAAGTGCCAGTTCCATTTTGTTCCATGGTCATTATAAATCTAATGTGTATATCTTTATTTCTTTCTTGGGGCCTTCTGATGCCTATTCTTCAACTCTCTCATCTCTGAACTTCAACCTTTGACCTCACCTGACTGATCAGATGGTGTTTCCTAAAATCAATCATGGGTTTCTCTCTGCTGATCAGCAGCTCATTAAACGCCGCCTGATTAAGGTAGTGCTGCTTCTTGCTGGAGTCTCGTTTCTTCTTTACATTCATATATTGCTCTGTGTTTTGCTTTACCATTTATCTCTTGTGGGTGGGGCATGATTGGAGGGTGGCCTTTATCCTAGAACGAAATTATGTTTAGTGAGCTCCATTTGAAATGTATATACAAGTACCAAAATTAAAAGACGTAGCCTGCCTAATTTTTGATTAATTAAAAAAAAACAAACTTAAATTGTAACCAGTAAGAGATGCAGTTTCTAAAGTTCTCTACCTTTGGTAATTTATAAAGTATTACATAGTATACAAGAACCTCATATGCTTAATTTTGTAGATTATGAAAAAATATTTGTCAAACTATAAATGAAGCCATGTATAGTGAATATAACTGATATAGCATTGCCATAGATAGAGTTATATAAGCTCTGAATATAGTGATTGCATAATACTCTTAGAGCTGTGCTGCTGGTTTCTGAGCTACTTTGATTTTAATATTATCTACTCAGCTCATCCAGTGTGAATATTTATTGGCTCCCTGCTGGCAGGTAAATTGCCTACAGGCTCCGTGTTTCTGGTTCTTTTCATTGTGTAAATGTGGATGATACAAATTGTTGAAAAGTGTACAAAGTGTTGAAAAGAAGACTTGGGTGTTCAAATTTGATGGTTATTGTTGGTCTGTTCCCTTCTTCTTTCCAGGGTGACCAAGGTCAGGCAGGGCCTCCAGGACCCCCAGGCCCTCCAGGCCCACGAGGGCCACCTGGGGACACAGGGAAAGATGGCCCCCGTGGAATGCCAGGAGTACCTGTGAGTTGCCTTCTGGATCAGTGTTCTCACAGGTTTTGTTTTGTGTTAAGGGCTGAGAACTCCAAAGGAGCAGGGTAGGGCTGTGGGACCAGGGAGTGAAGTGTGTGGAGGGGTTTGAGGAAAGTGGGATGACAGGAGGGTCCCCGGGGTTTGAAGGGCCCTCCCAGCAACAGTCCACTTTACTACCCAATCCACCTGGAATCCGTGTACACCACAGAGACTTGGAGACAGCAGCTAAACTGGTTTTCAGGTAAGCCTCAAGATGTTCATGACCGGAGATGCCCCATCTTACAAGTATCCTGCCTACCATAGGGTACGTCAACCAATGCGTTGGCTTAGGCGGGAGCTTAGTTGAAAAAATTTAAGTGCTGGATTAATAACATTTCCCAAAGGCTCAATTGCATACACAATAAAGCCCCATACAATGTATGGAAAATAAAGGATGTAAATTAATACTTAATCTCTTATAAATAACTTGATCAAAAAATAATGCCAAAAAGAATAGCACAATTTATGGTTCAAACATCAGTGTTTAATGATCTTAATACCCTAGTTGTCCTTTGTATGTAAAGTTTATTAATAGAAATCATTTAAAAGTGATTTCAATACTTAGTAAGATTAAGCAAGTTTCAATAATGTCAAAGTACAGGCTAGATCAACGATATGGTTTGATAGAGGCAACCCAGCCATGTAAGGAAATATATGGAAAACATTAAAAATGTGAAATTAATATTATGGCTTTAGGACTAGAAATTAAGATTTATTGCCAAATTAAATTTTATTTAATGTATTGCTTTAACTTCAACCATCATTAATTCAAGAGGACCAAAATTTAAAATCAATCTCTAATCATTTTGTGGTTTAATTCCTGCACTAAGAGCAACTGTGTGTGCATATATATATTTTATACAAACACACACATGTTCAGATTCTCAAAAAGAAGAAACCATATTATCAATTTTTGTCATCATAAGAGGTCATGATGATCCAGACTAAATTTTTAATTTCAAAGATGTCCATAAAATTATTTTGAAGAAAAATATCAGTTCTTTTAAGTGTGCTATGTTTAGATTCCTCTATTTAATCTGAAAAATGTACTTGACATTCATGTGCCCAGAAAGTATTGAGGAAAAGAAAGAAAAATTATTGAAATTGTTTTTTAATGTTTACATATTACTAAAATTATCACTTTTTTTTGGAAGGGTGAACCAGGAAAACCAGGAGAACAAGGCTTGATGGCAAGTATCTCGATTTATTTTATTCTATATAAAAATAATGGAAATCCAGGTTATTAAAATCTATGGCCAAGTTTATATGACAAATACATCCATTAAATGAGCAGAAAGTGAAAATTCATAAAAGTTAAAAGCTATATGGTCTATCTGCTGCATGCTAAGGATCTCAACACTTCTACAGAAATTATGCTGGAGAAAAAGAAGATTCCACGTGGGGAAAGTGGCAGAAAGATGCTGCAGAAGGTCAAGGGAGAAGGCAATTGAAGCAGCTCTGTTGTAAGGGAGATAAATTCAAGAGTATGCTGTTTAGTTTAAATAGAAACATGTATTCAAAGGGATCAGGTGTGATGGTGAATTAGGGTAGCAAACCTTGACAGTACTTCAAGGAGTGTTTCTGTTGCTGAAAAGCTCTACACAGAGAGAAACAAAAAGACATTTTAAAAAATCTCTCATTTTAAGACAGGTCATGCAGTGATCTCACATGGACTTGTATGGACACGTGGAACCCAGTTCCTCATGAGTTGTTTATTCTTTGCCAGTAGAAAATTCAGGTCAGCTTGCTGATCCTTGAAGAGTGAAATGCCTTCAGCCACCTCTCCCTGACTCTGTCTTTCAAGCTGCTCTTCTAGCCCACTTTACAGTTTGAACACTATGGGGAAATGCGGTTGATGCTCTAGTTACCCCAATGTCAAAGGACAACAGGTACCCATCCCAGCTGCAGAATGGATAGACCCAGAAACCGCACCAGGAGCTGGCAGGTGATCCTAATAAGCTTGATAGGGTCCAAGCTATATGATGGGTGGCTCATAGTGTACAGGTAATCAGCATATAAAATTTATTTTAAAAAATCCTTAGCTAGGCCCTTGTAAAACTAATGCACTGGAGAACAACAGTGTGTGGGGAATGGAAGCCAGCATGGGAATGTGGAAGGTCAAAGGCTTCCCCCTCAGAGCTTTCAACAGCACTCTCCCTGGGAGCAACACACCCACTCAGCTGCCTTTGTGAGCAAGAGCTCTGATGAAATGAAAGCACCCTAGGATCAAATCACACCCGCTGCCTGGAAATTCCATTCTTGACCTAAAATATCAAGGTAGATACTTGATACAGATTATTTTTGGTGCCATTATGTATTTTTTTTAAAAAAAAAGCAAATAAAATGAAAGAAAAAGAAATGAAAAATCACATCTGTCACTAGTGATAACTACATAGAAGTGTAGCATCAACACCTGTGTTATGGAGTCACAGTGTGAAGGATTCTTGCAAGACTATATGATATAAAAATTGGAATTGCTTTAAGCAATTGAATCTATGATTTTTATTCTGGAAAAAATGGTCAAAACATATTTCTCCCATCCATTCTTACATCACAACCTCAAGAGTTTGGATTGTTTCTAGCCTACCCAGAAATTATCATTGGCACTGACTGGCTTTCCTGATACCCAGCCCTGCATCACAATATGCAATATCCTAGAATAAAATGGATATTTCTTAAAAACAATATTCTTATCTTTCTTGAATTATATATGCTCTCAAGGATGTACTACTATATGAATAACAACATAATCCCATTTTTCTACAATTCCTTGTTTCTTGGATTTTTGGTGCTAGGGATAAAACCCAGGTTCCTGTATGCTGAACATGAACCCTACCACTGAAATACACTCAATTCTCAGACAGATATCATTAAATATAAATGTTTAACCCAGCCCTAAATGAACTGTGTTAATATCTTAGGGTACTTAGATTTCCTATTTCAGATAAAAACTTTCTCATTGCAGATACTACTGGTTATTTTTTCTATAAACTTTTTCTTCTCTTTAAATTTTTCAGATTCAGTTCATGTTCTTATTTTTTAAATGACTCTAAGAAACTTAATTGAAATCAAAATATCCCAAGGAAAGGTGTATGCAGTGATCTTCTAAAGTGCATTTAAAAATTACTGCATTTAAAGATAGAAAATCCTTTTTCTTAAGTGAAAGTTCTATAATAGGAAAAGTAGACACATCATAGTGTCCATCTCAATATATTTTCAAAAGTACATGAAACTACGTACAAACCAGATCAATTACTAGAATATCATCATAAGCCCTGCTCTACCTCCCAGTCCCCATCCCAAAGGTAACCACCATTCTGACTTCTGTCGCCATAGATTAGTCTTGCCTGCATTTGAATTATATATTAATTGCATCATACAGTATGTACACAGTTGTGTCTGGCTTCTTTCATTCAACATTATGTTTGTGAGATCATCCACCTCTTTTAATAGCCTTCACAGCTGGTTAAAAAGGGAGGAGGAGGAACCTTCCTGCCTTGACTACCCCGTTAAAACTCCATCACTCAGAGCAGTAGATGAATGAACGTCTGTCTGACCTTGGGCAAGTTACTTAACCTCTCAATTTCTCATCTGTAAAGAAAGGATAATATCCTTTCTGCCTGCTATAAAAGACAAATGCAATAAATTAGAGGAAAGCACTTTAAAATATATAATGAAGAACTATGTGAGCATGTTATTATTATTATCACTCAGTTGTTCTCTCTAGAGTAAATTACAGGTGAACATGCATGGATTTATATAGCAGATGTATCCCTGTAAAGTTTCATATGAATCAGATTTTCAAAAATCACCATATTTTAAATGTGCTGGGAAATTTTACTATTTAAAGCTACCCTATTTAAAGTCTTTTTGTAAAGTAGTATAACCCCCTTATTCCACTTTCCAGCAAATTGAAATTTTATAGTTTATATTTGTTTAACATAAATGTTTCTCTGATTTAAAAATCTCTCATTTTTTAAAAAATCACAATTCTCCTTGTTAACTTGAATAGTACCTGTATATTTTAATTCATCTCATAGAGAAGAGAATACTAGACATATAATTGTAATTTTCATGAGGAGAAAAATTTCTTCAGAAATTTTCTTTCCAATATTTTGAAGTCTGGGTGTGTATACATATATTTGTGTGCACATGTGTTTTAACTAGCAGTCTGATATGGTGAAAAGTACGCCGTACCTGTAATTCTGGACTTGGAACCACTTAGAGATATAGTATGGTCTATGATCTTTTTTACTGATCTATAAAGTGTAGGCAATAATTCCTAATCTATTTATCTCACTAGATTATGGTAAGAAGCAAGTGAAATACTTATATGAAATGTTTTATGAACTACAGAAAATCCATAAAAAGAAGTATTAATGCTAAAACAAATGTCCAGTGATAGAACTCAGCCTGCAGAAGGACTGCTATATGAAATGTAAGGGCTGAGAACGACTCAATAGCTATCAACTTAGTTACAGCATATCACATAGTGTAATTGATAGAGCAGTTTTTTTTTGTCCTGTTTATTCTTGGTGGTGATGGTGATGGTCGTGTTTTATCCATCTTCTCCCATATATCACATCATTAATTTTTCATAACATTTCTCACCCACGAGTTAAAACAAGACAGCATGGTAAATACCACTGCTCCCATCTTGCCCTCATTATGTAAAACCTGCTACACTTGTTGCTTTGTGTCCTAGAGGAATATTTGCTTCCATGAGGGTCTTAAGAGGCACTGGAGGATATTTATAAATTTAAAATATCTCCAATGATGAAATGAGGAAGCTAGAAATAGCCTAAAATTGGGTCTTACAAAACTGTTTATGAGTGTGGCAGGTAGGGAATTAGTTTTCATAATCCAGGATAGATAGTTTATATTGCAAAAATAATCATCTGAAGATTAACGGCATCTATGATACAATAAAAAAGAAAATCTGCAGCTCAAGCAGTTTCACATTTATTTAATCCTGCTGTGCATCTACTCTGTAAATGTGACCTTTGGGTTTTCTGAGAAGTTCAGGATGAGATTTTAAAAAACAGAATCTTGAGCTTAAGTAAATTTGACTCCATCTAAATAAGAACAGACGCACACTATCTTATAAAACCAGACACAAGAATAAAACCAACTGCCGACCAGAGTTGAAAGTGCTCAAATGTGTTCTAGCAAGAGTGATCTTTATCTTCCAGTTCTTCTGGAATGTAAATAGTGGTTAAAATCGTATTTTTGAAGGTATTTTTCCTTTAGATATTCTTACTGTTTCTTTCTTTGACAAATTCAGAAGTTCTCAGAAACATGAAATATAAATGGCATTTTAAAAAATATACCATCTAGGGCTAGGGTTGTGGCTCAGTGGTAGAGCACTTGCCTAGCATGTATGAGGCACTGGGTTCAATCTTCAGCACCACATTAAAATAAATAAATATATATTTACATTATATATATTATATGTATTATATATATATATATATATATATATTATATACATATATTTTATAAATATTATATATGTATATATTTATACACATTCACACACACCAACTAGTCCCAGTTTGCTGAATATTGTTTTTTAGTTCAAAATATCTATATCCAAGGCTTCATAGATCATATCATTTTCTGAAACTCTTTATTCTTTCCATCTCCCCTTCCACAAATATATGTAATCTACAAAACATATCTGTCATCTCTTTTTGAACTATAAAAATACTCAAATTGTTACATATTGGACCTTGATGGTATCTGTGAATTCAAAACTCAGAAAAAAATTTTTCATTAAAGTGAAATTTGGACTAGTGTCTGAAGAACTTATGGATATTCTTTAGTTTCTTTTAGTTTTGCCTATAAACACATTTAATACATTGTTGCCCAAGTGACAACCTGCTTTTTAAAAAATGTTAGTTAATAGCATAAGCATAAATAATTATTTCTGTTTGATTTAAAATAAAAAGTGAAATAACCAATACTTGCTTTAAATATTCAGTTATATATATCACTGTGCACAGATTTGATAAAATTCATCATTTTACTCAGTTGAACTTTGATCTGCCTGCTGTCTTGATCAGCAGATGTCAGACATTGGAGACAACAGCAGACTCTTCCTGATTTGGATCTGGCAGAGAAAGCAAAATCTGAAACCATCAAAGCACAAATAACAAAAATGAAGAAAATCATCTTTGCATAGGCATTA